GTACTGGTAGTCTCGGCACCCTACTTATAAACGAAAGATAAGTAGTGTAGTCGATTGTTATAGCAAATATAACTTGCTTCATCTGCAATCCCATCAAAGAGTGTGATATGGGAAAACGCCTGGCCTTCCTTGAAATTCGCATCTGCTCTGTTACCCAATGCCACTTGTGGGAAAATTTAACTATCGGTCTTCATCAACTTAAGCAAAATAGGGTTAATACATCTTATATTAACTTTACAATATCGGCATGACTGAAGAGCACAGCTATACTTTTGTACGTGATCAATCTATTGGCATTTACTCTAACACACTAATCGCGATCTTCATCGTTGTTAACCAGGCTTTATCTTAAAAGTGTTATGGGAATAGAAATTGAAAACGAATCTAATTTAAGAATGAGGCTTCAGCCTCAGCCTGTTGCTGGTCAAAGTGGTAAGTAAAATGAGGGTATGCGCGAAGCAAAGTTGGTTTCCAAGGCATCTTTTGGTTTATAATTGTTGAGTTTACTACCATTTCAAGCGGGATTATTTGGTGAATAGATTCGAAGCTCGATCCCACCAGAAGACGATAGCGCTTTGCTCTTGACCAGCTGTCGATTGGCTTCCCTGGAAGATTCATGCTGACGCTGTTTCCGAGGCAATCTCCTTCGATTCCGGTGAAAAGGTGCTAAACTTTCGTACGTCATTTGACGAACATCATCGGAGCAGGGTATCATCATCACAACCAAATTCAATCTAACGAGTTAAGAAGTTGTATTGACAGCTGGTCTAGAGGAATCCACCTTCGTCTTTTGGTGGAAGCGACCTTCGAATCTCTTCACTCAACACTTTCACTCGAAATGGAAGTAAGCTCAACAATTATGAAACAATAGATTCCTCAAAACCCAACATTTCTTAGAATAACTTATGCTTAATTGATAGATTAAAGGAGAGAGAGGGTGCAAATGAGTTTTCTTAATTCTTTAGCTTGAATTTTGTTGTGACGATGATACCTTGCTCGGATGATGTACGTCATGTGACGGACGAAAGCTTAGCACCTTTTCACCGGAATCAAAGAAGATTTCCTCGGAAACAGCGTCAGCATGAATGTTCCAGTAAAGCCAATCGACAGCTGGTCAAGAGGAATCCGCCGTATTCTGGTGGAACCGACCTTCGAATCTCTTCAGCCAACACTTCCACTCGAAATGGAAGTAAGCTCAACAAATATGAAACAAGATATTTCTTGAAACCCAAATTTTCTTCGTAACACAGTTGACAAGAATGCTCCAGTTGAGCAAACGAACAGCTGGTCTACAGAAATCTGCCATCGAATTCGGGCAGATAGACCTTCAAATCTTTTCCGCAAATACTTTTGCTAGAAATGTGAGCTCAACAATACCTTTCCAGCAATATGCATTCAGGATGAACCGTACTCTTGACCCCATTCCCGTCTTCACATCTACTCCACAGTGGCTTAAACCAGGAACACGAGTGCGCCATAGTCGTAAAGACACGCTTGGTTCCCAATTTGGGTCTTCAGACCATTCAACCGAATAATTTCACATTTATCTGTTCTTTTGATACGTCCACAAAGGCACAATTCCACACTTTATTAGAATAAGCAGAGTCCATAAATCTACAAAAAAGCTTAAATAGAGGTAGGAAATTGAGTTAATAAAGGCAGTTTCCACCTTCGTTATTGCTTACGGGTGCCCAATGAGCGAGTGTGGAAAATGCATCCGTTCATAGTTGGGCTATTTGTTTCAAAAACACACGCTTTTAGGGATAATTTGATGGCTTTTGATACCTTACAATCAGCGCTGATCTTCCGATTACATCATCCATGATAACCCACTATTGGGAAAATTCAACCTTCAGTCTTCCTCGCCTTAAGCGAAATAGCGTTAATACATCTCATATCAACTTTACAATATCGGCACAACTGAAGAGCACAGCTATACTTTTGTACATGATCAATCTATTGGCATTTACTCCAACACACTAATCACGATCTACATCGTTGTTTCCCAGGCGTGATCTTTCAAGTGATTTGGGAATACAAATTGAAAGCGAATCTAATTTAAGAATGATGCTTCAGCCAATGATTACACTCGTTCGGGGGTTATTGCATTTCTTCATCGCTTGCCGAAATGGAGAGACCTCATTTGTACCATTCTTAAAACCAACGAAAGACCTCAAACCGGCTCTATTCAGCCGAACAGCGACGAAATTGTGTTTCGTAAGGTATTCTCTGAACTATCCGGAACAGTTCAAAGGCCTTTCAGGCGACAACCGAGGGCAAACATTTCCCTTAACCGAGACGTAGTCAACTTGAGGGTTCTGGCCATCGTGCCCATGTCGTGTTCAGCCTCGACACGGAACTCCTGTCTGGATCGGGTGGATCCTCAACCTTTCCAAACAGTTAATGGAATTTGTCATGCTGCTCAGTTTTAGGCATTCGTCTCTCTCAAGTCTCACGAAATAAGGCAGGGCCCATTATTCTTGCCTCCCAGATCATGAGTCCAAAGTGTCCCCGAATAAGCAAGCTCGAAAGAATGCCTTGTCAGCTTCAGCTGCCACATTCTCGTCAGACAATTGCAAACTCCCCGAATCGGGCCTGAGACCTGACAAAGCAAGGAGATTGGGCCAATTGGCGAGATCTCCAGAGATGACAGGATAACAAAAGAGAAGATCCAATAAATGTCAAACACTATATCGGCCTCAGAAACTAACCTATATCAATCCGACTTAAATCATAAAAATTAGCAAATTATATAGTGTATAATTACACTTAATGCCATATAGCACGGACAGTAAAAGTTGTGCCCAGCAGTAAAAAATCCCTTAATCATATTATTATATACTTTAAATACATATATATTGTCATGTAAATTTTTAATATATAATTATTGTTGTATGACATATATATGCATTCAATGGTATATATATAATACGGTAAGACAGTTTTTTATTTTTTATTTATAACTAGGCCTTCAAGACTACCAGTTCATAATAGATATAAGAAGGTTTCACCCTGTTTATTGGCTAAGGTGAAATTCACATCTCTTTTGTGACCCAAGCGCATTTGTGGCAGTGTGGCGTATTAGTTAACTTGTCGAGATTATACGCTAGACAATCATAGTGGGAATTCCGCTGAGGGTTTTGATGAGACCAGTTCAGGCAAGGTTGAACCTGTAGACCTCCCTGGATAAGACTAGCCTTTTGGGAAGCAAGATTATGTGAAATTCAATGGAAAAGTAATAGCTATTCATAGGATTGTTGGAAAATTCAACTACAAGTCCTTTATCACCTTAACGAACACAAGGTGAATACATCTCGTATAGATAGTTTTTTATTTCAAAAGTTACACTTTCTCTAGTAAACTATTAT